GGCCGCCCGTACCCATATGTGAGAGGGTCTTTGAATAATGCCAGGTCAGCTCAATATGAATAGACAGTGACTCAGGCAGAGACGGTTGGTCGTGAGTCAACTGGCACAGTGGTTACTGGTAACTGGTTACTACTACTGAGCGCTCGACCCTTACAGCCGTGACCTGCCTCCTTGCTCACTCTCGTATCACTGACTGGCTGGCCGCCCGTACCCATATGTGAGAGGGTCTTTGAATAATGCCAGGTCAGCTCAATATGAATAGACAGTGACTCAGGCAGAGACGGTTGGTCGTGAGTCAACTGGCACAGTGGTTACTGGTAACTGGTTACTACTACTGAGCCTATGAGTGAGTATAATACCGAGTACATCGCCAGAAGCACTCATTAACCAGATAACTTCTGCGGCATATGGGCGCTTGGCAAACCTGAGAATAGCGTTCCGGTACCTCAGTAAGGAATCGTTCAAGACTTTATACACTGTGTACGTCAGGCCCATACTGGAGTACGCAGCACCAGTTTGGAACCCACACCTTGTCAAATACGTCAAGAAATTAGAGAAAGTGCTAAGGTTTGCAACAAGACTAGTTCCAGAGCTAAGGGAATGTCCTATGAAGAAAGGTTAAGGGAAATCGGTCTGACAGCACTGGAGGACATACAAAATACTGCGTGGAATAGACAAGGTGGACAGAGACAGCATGTTCCAGAGATGGGACACAGAAACAAGGGGTCACAATTGGAAGCTGAAGACTCAGATGAGTCAAAGGGATATTAGGAACCATTTTTTCAGTCATAGAGTAGTTAGGAAGTAGAATAGTCTGGCAAGCGATGTAGTGGAGGCAGGAACTATACATAGTTTTAAGACGAGGTATGATAAAGCTCATGGAGCAGGGGGAGAGAGGATCTAGTAGCGGTCGGTGAAGAGGCGGGGCCAGGAGCCGAGTCTCGACCCATGCAACCACAATTAGGTGAGTACACACACACACACACACACACACACACAATGCACACACGCACACACACACACAACACACACACACACAACACACACACACACACACACACACACACACATACACCACACACACACACACGCACATATACACATACACACACACACACAGGCTCTGAGAATCGATCCCTGTAGCCACTAACAGATGAGTGCACCCTTCACCTCAATCTACTGACATTCCACACCTTGCTTACCCGAACACTACCCTCTCCACCTTAACACATACGCAAGAAAAGAGAAACCGAAACACGCTAAATAAAAATAAACTCCACAGCGTGACGTACGGAGTTAAATGGAATGAGAAAAAATGGTGCAAAGAATATACTAAACAAACTGTATCGCCGCAACCAAGGCATCATTGCTTTCACAGATACGAAACGGAGATAACGAGTGCCAAAAATTCCGATAGGTAAAAAATTTCTGAGCAATGAAGCATTAGAGAGCGAAGATTGGTATTACTTATCGGAAACCAGTGAAAATATTAGAAAATAAGAGGCATAAATGCCGACTCAAATGACTGAATATTAGGTACAATCAAAACTTGAAGGGTCAACGCAGTAGCAGTGTTCTACAACAAGCCTCCAAAGAGCAGTGATCTACAACCAGCCTCCAAGCAGTAGTGATGTACAACCACCCTCCAAACAGTAGTGATCTACAACCACCCTCCAAACAAATATGATATACAACTAGCCTTCAAAGAGCATTAATATACAACCAGCTTCCTAACAACTATGATATACAACCCACCTCCAAACAGCAGTGATATACAACCCGCCTCCAAACAGCAGTGATATGCAACCCACCTCCAAACACGCTAAAATAGGAAACGAAACAAACAAGACAATGATCGATCCTCTACCAATTGGAAACAAACATTTAGAGAACAATAACAAGGGAGAGAAATCATATATAAGGAGACTAAGCAAGAATTTGATAGGAGCCTGAAAGCAGTTACAGTGAAGAAGGTAACTGGAAGGAAATACAACGAAGACGGAATAGCTGGATGAAGAGGTGACCGAGGGAAGCACAATACATAGTTTTAAGAACAGTTATGAGGCTAAGAGGGAGTGAACCCTGTAAGACCCAGCTAGTTGAGAAGTGAGGCCGAGTACAAATAGGCCGGTACAAATAGGTGCTCATGCGGATGCACGCCTGCACGCTCGCGTGTGTGTGTGTGTGTGTGTGTGTGTGTGTGTGTGTGTGTGTGTGTGTGTGTGTTTTCGTTCTATCAAGGTATTGACTATCTCCTCTGGTGAGAAGGTTCGGCAGAATCATTGTTATTATATAATTTTACGGGCACGCTGCAAATGTCAGACAAGAAAGTGAAAGTCAGAGGTTATCTGGCAGCCAAACTGCTTTGATAAATCTCTAAAAGTTTTATGCAACAGCTAGATTTTTTGTTATTGTTAGATACATGTTTGTGAATCACCTGACTGGTGTATTATAATTTTATTTACTTATAACAAAATACAATCTAAAGAACAAAAAAGAATAATCTTTGCAAACGTCAGGTAAAATAGATGAACCGGAGCAATTCACCCAAAAAATAAACAGCAAACGTTTCGAATTGTCTGGGACCAACTTGATATCGCAACCGAACAATGTTTTATTTATTATGACGTGACAACGGTAATTCTAACGGAAAGTCATAAGGTTCCTCTCCCAAGTGCGAGTGTCTGGTTAATTGACTCATTCTGAATAATTACTAACACTGTCAAACTTATTCTAGCTTGGCCAAAGCTTACCTAAGGAATATGAGGAAGGTAACGTGAACGGAGAGTTGGAGGGTGTAAGGGGGAAGAACTGAAGAGGTTAAGAAGCATATTTTGCGAGAAACTGTGAGAAAGGTGTGATGGACATAGGCTGCAAGGCAAACTTTTATTGGGACAGCTTATCACTTGATGAAGCTCTGCACAGAGCGGAACGATGTCCCACTAAAAATTTATTCTCCAACCTGTGTCTTTTCTTCACACAATTTCCTGTTCGCTACAACGCTGCTGCACCCTCCGTCCCACAGTCCATTGCCATCGCTGTTTACGACTAGAGCCACCGAACTGAACGCTGATTGCAAGCTGCACTGCAACGCTCTTCAGGCTTGCAATCACTTTTGATAAAACATTAGTACGAGACTTCCACTACAATCTTGTCTTTGCTCATTTAACGAAGGAATTTTTCCTCTACATCGTTGTCGTTGACGCTTCTCCCTTTCCTCACCCGTAAGAAGGGACGACATACTTGAGTAGATAGAACATTAGGGACGTAAAGTGATCTGCTGTTTCAAAACGGAGTGGAAAATCTAGTTCAGGTGCGCCGATAACGGGTATCCGACTTTGTTTACAGTGGTGGCCCATGCTAACTTTTCTATGGTGTAGAAATACACCTAGTTCGATGAATCTTATTGTAGCCAGCTGGCCCAGTGGCTCACTCGCCAAAAGTTCAATCCCCGCCCGTGGTACGGTTTGTTTGCAATATTGTCATTACGATTTCGTGAATCTTGTTACTGAAGTACATGCTTTTAAATCAAGGGTATAACACGCCTTTGGTACACTATTAGATATTATTAACCACGTGTATACAGCTCTGGTATGCTCTGATCTTCGGCTTTGGTACACTAGCGGATGTTTTTAATCACGAATATACAGCTTTGGGACGCTAAATTATTTTTTTAACCCACCAGCAGTATACAACACTGGTGAGTCCGACATTTAAACAAGGATATACAACACTGTTAAATCAGTAGACGTTTAACCTGGAGTGCAAACACAGGTGCACTAATGGATGCTTAAACACGGATAAAAATACTGGTAAGCCACGGGTACACAGCAGAGTGGGCCATCTTAATATGTCAAAGTGACGTCACATTACTATGACGAACAAACACTAACAATGTGGCTTGTGTTCTCTATCAAGTCGGTGTTTATTATGATTATTTTTATGAGTAGGCTCTAAATCCAAAAGGATCATACAGCTCCTGGATAATGAGGGGTAATCAGGTTGAAGAAAGAGAGTAGCACCAGGTCTGTTGATCAAGCTCCCTTCAACAACATCAAGGGGGCTCCCTGGCAGGGTCAAGCCAATGATAACTAGAAGGGGTGAGGAGAAAGGGGGAAAAAAAGGGAGGAATGTTAATTGCTGTTATCGTAATCTTACGTCTCATTGGCTATCATGATCCCTTCTACGCTCGGGAACCGAGATCCTGTTGGAAGCTGTTTCATCTCGGTGGAGTTGCAAATAATGAATTTCTTCAGCGATTACCACCATGAAGAGGGAGATGGATGCAGAGTCAATGTACATTCACTCACTACGGTAAAATTACAATTTGGCTTCTCTCGTGTGTGTGTGTGTGTAGTGGAAATCAGTGAAATGCAGAGAATGCAAATGAAAATTCCAGTGTGGACAGACGGTAATCAGATTCGACCTGAGAGAGGGAAAGGTAAGTCAATCCCCTTTTTATCAAGAACCCTTCGCCAGTGTTAAGGCAATGTTCACCTTTCTTGAAGAGATGCTCAGAGTAACTTCCTTCATCATTGAAGAGATGCTCAGAGTAACTTCCTTCATCATTGAAGAGATGCACAGAGCAACTTCCTTCTTCCTTGAAGATAATGCACAGAGTCACTTCCTCCTACCTTGAAGAGACGCACAGGGTTGCGAACTCGACAATGCTGGAGACTCGATCCTTCATCCAGTAAACGCGAGACATACATTATCTTGCCTCAGCCACAGTGAAAAACAGGAAAATATCAAGGCACCTCTTTCTTGCCATGAAGTATTATTAGGAATTAGTGGAAAAAAAAAACAGAATATCAAAAGGCACTCCTTTCTGCCTTGAAGGGTTGCTAGGAGTTAGTGGAAAAACATAACAATATCGAGGCATCTCTTTCCTGCCTTGAAGGATTATTAAGAATTTCTGAAAGTAACAGTACAATATCAGGGCATTCATTTCCTATCTTGAGGGGTTACCAGGAATAATATGGTTTGTCTCGTGCACACAGCGGCCCGCAGTGAGATGCAGGGACCTGGAGAGCGCATGGTGGCAGCGGGGAGCAGCCTGAGGTTGGTGTGTACATTCAGGGACGCTTCCAACACACCTCCCTTCGTCTTCTGGTATCAGGACTCGAGGATGATCAACTACGATACTGCCAGAGGCGTCCATATAAGCTCTGACCAGGAGCACAGGTGAGGGTGTGTTTTGTGTGTGTGTCTGCGTGTGTGGGGGGGGGTGTCTTACGTGTATATTATGAGTGTGGGTGGGTGCTTTACTTGTGTGAAGAGCCACACCTCACCACAGAGCCATACCTCACAGTCACACCCCATCACAGAGCCACACCACATCACAGAACCACATCTCACCACAGAGCCACATCTCACCACACAACCAACACCTCACCACAGAGCCGTACCTCACCACAGAGCCACACCCCACCACAGAGCCACACCACATCACAGAGCCACACCTCACCACAGAGCCACACCACATCACAACCCACACCTCACCACAGACCACCCCTTTCACCACAGAGCCACACTCACCACACAACCGACACCTCACCATAGAGCCAACACCTCACCACAGTCACAAATCACCACAGAGCCACACCTCACAACAGAGCCAGACCTCACCACAGATCCACACCTCACAGAGCCATATGACATCAAAGAGCCACAATTCACCACAACCACATCTCACCACACAGCTACACCTCACATCTGAGCCACACCTCACAGAGCCACGCGACATCAAAGAGCCACACCTCACCACAAAGCCACATCTCACCACACAGCCACACCTCACCACAGGCCCACACCTCACCACACAGTCAACACAGCCACACCTCACCACAAAGCCACACCTCACCACAAAGCCGCACCTCACAACAGAGCCACACCTCACAACAGAGCCAGGTCTCGCTAGAGCGCCTGTCTTGTTTGTTCTCGGTACTGACATAGTTTTGCACACGCCCAGCTGGTTATTTCCTAACGCGGTACGTGTTTCGAACAATATAAATATAAGCAGCCTTTCCGAACATTTCAAACGTGAACGTGATTTTCGAACACTCCAAAGTGAACAGGATTTTTCCGAACATTAAAACAATAACCAGCCTTTCCGAATACTAAAAAAAGCAATAACCAGCTTTTTCAAACACCAAAAAACCATAGCCAGCCTTCCCGAACATCAACAACCATAACCAACCTTTCCGAACATAAAAAAAAAAAACCATAACCAGCCTTTCCAAACACCAAAAAAAAGAAAAACAGCCTTTCCGAACACCAAAAAACCATAACTAGCCTTTCCGAACACCAAAAATCCATAACCAGCCTTTCCAAACATCAAAAAACCATAACCAGCCTTTCCGAACACCAAAAAACCATAACCAGCCTTTCCGAACACCAAAAAACCATAACCAGCCTTTCCGAACACCAAAAAAAACCATAACCAGCCTTTCCGAACATCAAAAAACCATAACCAGCCTTTCCAAACATCAAAAAACCATAACCAGCCTTTCCAAACATCAAAAAACCATAACCAGCCTTTCCAAACATCAAAAAACCATAACCAGCCTTTCCGAACACCAAAAAACCATAACCAGCCTTTCCGAACACCAAAAAAAAACCATAACCAGCCCTTCCGAACACCAAAAAAACCATAACCAGCCTTTCCGAACACCAAAAAACCATAACCAACCTGTTCGAACACCAAAAAACCATAACCAGCCTTTCCGAACATCAAAAAACCATAACCAGCCTTTCCGAACATCAAATAACCATAACCAGCCTTTCCGAACACTATATACACAATCACTTTTTTTCAAAACATTATAAACGTTGACAGGTTTTACCCGGTTGCTGTTCCCTTCACCCGCATATTATCACAGCTTCCAAAACACTTTGCTAACAGGTTCACACGAGCTAACAGAAGTGCGTTCATGTTTCGGTATTTCTTTTAACTGAGGTCATTTTCATGTGACCTTTTTTTTTAAATAAAAAATGTCTGGTCGAGAGAAAAAAAATCATCTTAGGAAAATCAGCTGGAGATGTTTCTGTCTTTAAAGGTGTGGCTGGTATTGTTACTGTGTAGCAGCAGGTGGTGTTGTTACTGTGTGTAGCAGCAGGTGGTGTTGTTACTTTGTGTAGCAGCAGGTGGTGTTGTTACTTTGTGTAGCAGCAGGTGGTGTTGTTACTGTGTGTAGCAGCAGGTGGTGTTGTTACTTTGTGTAGCAGCAGGTGGTGTTGTTACTTTGTGTAGCAGCAGCTGGTGTTGTCACTGTGTGTAGCAGCAGCTGGTATTGTTACTGTGTGTAGCAGCAGGTGGTGTTGTTACTGTGTGTAGCAGCAGCTGGTGTTGTCACTGTGTAGCAGCAGCTGGTGTTGTTACTGTGTGTGTAGCAGCAGCTGGTATTGTTACTGTGTGTAGCAGCAGGTGTTGTTACTGTGTGTGTAGCAGCAGGTGGTGCTGTTACTGTGTGTGTAGCAGCAGGTGTTGTTGTTACTGTGTGTGTAGAAACAGCTGGTGCTGTTACTTTGTGTGCAGCAGCAGCTGGTATTGTTACTGTGTGTTTAGCAGCAGCTGGTACTGTTACTGTGTAGCAGCAGCTGGTGTTGTTACTGTGTGTGTAGCAGCAGCTGGTGTTGTTACTGTGTGTGTAGAAACAGCTGGTGCTGTTACTTTGTGTGCAGCAGCAGCTGGTATTGTTACTGTGTGTGTAGCAGCAGGTGGTGTTGTTACTGTGTGTGTAGCAGCAGCTGGTGCTGTTACTGTGTGTAGCAGCAGGTGGTGTTGTTACTGTGTGTAGCAGCAGGTGGTGTTGTTACTGTGTGTAGCAGCAGGTGGTGTTGTTACTGTGTGTAGCAGCAGGTGGTACTGTTACTGTGTAGCAGCAGGTGGTGTTGTTACTGTGTGTGTAGCAGCAGCTGGTGCTGTTATTGTGTGTGAGCAGCAGCTGGTGCTGTTATTGTGTGTGTAGCAGCAGCTGGTACTGTTACTGTGTAGCAGCAGCTGGTGTTACTGTGTGTGTAGCAGCAGCTGGTGTTGTTACTGTGTGTGTAGTAGCAGCTGGTGTTGTTACTGTGTGTAGCAGCAGCTGGTGCTGTTGTGTGTGTAGCAGCAGCTGGTACTGTTACTGTGTAGCAGCAGGTGGTGTTGTTACTGTGTGTGTAGCAGCAGCTGGTGTTGTTACTGTGTGTGTAGAAACAGCTGGTGCTGTTACTTTGTGTGCAGCAGCAGCTGGTGTTGTCACTGTGTGTAGCAGCAGCTGGTGTTGTTACTGTGTGTGCCGCAGCAGCTGTTGTTACTATGTGTGTAGCAACAGCTGGTGCTGTTACTTTGTGTGTAGCAGCAACTGGTGTTGTCACTGTGTGTGTAGCAGCAGCTGGTGTTGTTACTGTGTGCGTAACAGCAGCTGGTGATGTTACTGTGTGTGAATCAGCAGCTGGTGCTGTTACTGTGTGTGCATCAGCAGTTGGTGCTACTGTGTGTGTAGCAGCAGCTGGTGCTGTTACTGTGTGTGCATCAGCAGCTGGTGCTTTTAGTGTGTGTGAAGCAGCAGCTGGTGTTGTTACTGTGTAGCAGCAGCTGGTGCTGTTACTGTGTGTGCAGCAGCAGCTGGTGCTGTTACTGTGTGTGCAGCAGCAGCTGGTGCTGTTACTGTGTGTAGCAGCAGCTGGTGCTGTTACAGTGTGTGCAGTAGCAGCTGGTGCTGTTACTGTGTGTGAAGCAGCAGCTGGTGTTGTTACTGTGTAGCAGCAGCTGGTGCTGTTACTGTGTGTGCAGCAGCAGCTGGTGCTGTTACTGTGTGTGCAGCAGCAGCTGGTGCTGTTACTGTGTGTGCAGTAGCAGCTGGTGCTATTACTGTGTGTGCAGCAGCAGCTGGTGCTATTACTGTGTGTGCAGCAGCAGCTGGTGCTGTTACTGTGTGTGCAGCAGCAGCTGGTGCTGTTACTGTGTGTGTAGCAGCAGCTGGTGCTGTTACTGTGTGTGCAGCAGCAGCTGGTGTTGTTACTGTGTGTGCAGCAGCAGCTGGTGTTGTTATTGTGTGTGTGTAGCAGCAGCTGGTGCTGTTACTGTGTGTGTAGTAGCAGCTGGTGTTGTTACTGTGTGTAGCAGCAGCTGGTGTTGTTACTGTGTGTGTAGCAGCAGCTGGTGTTGTTACTGTGTGTGTAGCAGCAGCTGGTGTTGTTACTGTGTGTGTAGCAGCAGCTGGTGTTGTTACTGTGTGTGTAGCAGCAGCTGGTGTTGTTACTGTGTGTGAAGCAGCAGCTGGTGCTGTTACTGTGTGTGTAGCAGCAGCTGGTGATGTTACTCTGTGTGCAGCAGCAGCTGGTGCTGTTACTGTGTGTGCAGCAGACAGCAAGCTGGTGTTGTTACTGTGTGTGTAGCAGCAAACTGTGTGATTATGTGTTGTAGCAGCAGCTTGCTGTATTTGTGTGTGCAGCAGCAGCAGGTGCTGTTACTGTGGGTGTAGCAGCAGCTGGTGCTGTTACTGTGTGTGAGCAGCAGCTGGTGCTGTTACTGTGTGTGTAGCAGCAGCTGGTGCTGTTACTGTGTGTGTAGCAGCAGCTGGTGCTGTTACTGTGTGTGTAGCAGCAGCTGGTGCTGTTACTGTGTGTGCAGCAGCAACTGGTGCTGCACTGTTGTGTAGCACAGCTCTTTTCATGTGTACAGCAGCGGTGCGTTTTTTGTGTTATCACACCTGGTTCTCTAATTGGAGCAGCAGCTGTATTGAACTATGTGAGCACAGCTGGTGTAGTGCAGCACCAACACACCACTCAGCATCACTCTGTACTCAGTAAAACAGCCCCAGCTTTTGCAGGGGCCTTATCAGCACCAACGCACCACTGTTGTACGGGCATTTTTGGTTTGCTACCTTCTTGCAAGATCAGCGGGCTATTTTACTAACACAGCTGTACTGTTAACTCACAACCACAGCAGCGGGTGCTTTTACCCTCTAAGCTGTTTCCGCGACCACCTGAAAACCCCAAGTTACCCAGGATTTTTTTTTTTTGAACCGTCCCAGATTTTCCCTTCACCCCACAAATCCCAAACAAAATTTCTTTCGATTTTTCCCCAAACTCTTTAAAATCTCAAATATTCTTACTCGGGTTTTAAATTTCAGCGGGCCCGGAAAAAAGGGCAAAAGGACAAAAAGTGAAATTCTACAAAAAAAAGTATGCCTTTTGCT